TCAACCTGAGCTAGTTATATCAAGGGCGTACTCTTCTCTCCATGCGGGAGGTCATGGTGATTTACATGGCTTCCCACTAACTCTTCCCAAATGATGATCGTTAGTATTGATCTTGGCGTACCCAGCACAACGAATAGAATCGATAACACAAGAATTTCTTATCTGGATCAGCTTGACACTTGTGGGCTTATGAGGTTATATGCGTAGGTAAAGCCCGTTTGGTTGTACACACTACGATGGGTGGCTTGGGCGACCTCGCGCCGTCGGTTATAGCATTACGAAATTACACGGAATACAGTCATAGATAAAGAAAAATAGGGGAAGAAATGGGTAGTCCGAAAGTAAATAACAGAGCGATAAATCAGTCCAAGTCCGAAGTATTGATATCCACATCCTCAGCCTCCGCATCCAAGTCCGTGAGATCAGAATCCGAATCCATAGAATATTCCTGATTTTCCATATCCCTCGGCCCAGTTGCGTCAGGGGAATGAGACTCAAGAACCTCATCCTGAGAGCCCGGCTCCTCGGTCAGTGCTTGGTCCTCGTTTAATTGTCCTTCATATTCTCGTAACTTGAGGTACACGTTATCTTCGATGTAGGGGTTCTCGTCGCCAGCGAGTCGGCTAGCCCCATGGCAGGACGCGGCGTGTTTCCACCTGTACCAAGTGCTCAGCCAAAAATAACTGACTCGTGGTGGAAGAACTGCACTTACCAGAAAATCTCGGGTACCTTGGACCCATACCATCTCGGTCAATACCAGAATAATCGTAGAGCTTTGATACTCACCATAATCTTCAACGGTTTGACGGTTTCAATCGGAACCCACTTCTTGCATACGTGACATTTTCCTTCTTCGATTACTTCCCGCTCCGAGACCTCGACCCTCTGGCGCTTTTTTTGCCGAAACGCAATGGGGGGTGAAAACGGCAGTCCTGTTTGGGCAGAAAGACCTGTTCGAGCGTTAGCTTCCAACGACACGATTCGGGCCAAGGATATACCATGATAGTACTGCATGTGATAGTCTGGTAGGGTCTTAGTCAAGCCTTCACGTCTCAGCCTGCGGGACTCACTGTATTGAGAAATCTGCGCGTACATGAATCAGTTCTGGTTTCACATTGCCCTGTTCTGCTAGACGCACCTTTGTGTTGAGTGAAACTTTCTGACCCTTTCCACCGCGCCATACGGGCTCCACACAGATCGGACAAAGTCCGAATTTCTTGGCCCCTATGCCGCGCATGAACCGAGGGGTATAGAGGTTGAAATATGGTGCCGGCTGGGGTACCAAACCTAATGCAGGGATCGCAGCTCTACCAGCAGCTCTGTTAGGAGCATAGGTGAATTATCCGAATAACTCTAGGAGATGGGACTCACTCGTCTCCCAACACAAACTGCCGAACCGGATCGTCCTTCATAAAGTACGCAGACACCGGGAAGCGACGGTACCAGTCGGGACAAGCTTCGTGGATAGGGAGACCCTCAGGAAAGGTTCGTCGTATCACCTTGCCGTCTGGTCCATAAACCACAGACGAATCGGGACGGGGGAGAAATTCCGAAGGGACTTGGTGTGTCGCTTCAGAGCCGGCGAATTGCTAAATTAGGACGCTCTGAACCGACTGTCAAATCTGCTCACCTGACACGTGATCTCCATTCCCAGCCTCCGTTTTGGCACCTTGGGGTTGAACTTTAAGGAAACGCTGCTTGGCGACAATACCTCTCAGTGGCCGGGTTCGAGTAGAAGTAGTAGATCGTATCTTGGGTACGTTATTCAATGAAGTATCGACCGCTCTGCTCGGAGCGCGGCCGACAACCCCACGCTTGGCACCGTCGCTCGCTCTCTGGGATCTGCTGGGGGTCTGGGTTGGAGCGTCGTTGTCCTGCGGTTTTCCTTGAGAACGGGTATTAGGACGTCCAGTAACCAGAGTCTTGGTTTTCTCGGTTTTGCTCTGTGAATTCCCTTTGCCAACACCACCTTTTTGGTTCTTGCTGGTGTTCTGGTTGTCTCCGGAAGAAGCGAGAGCGAGAAGGGCGGCAACAGCACGAGCCTGTGCCCTGGTAGTTCTCCCAAATCCGAGATCGCTCTGGAAGATATCCTAGTCCCATATTTGTCAGTATAACGCCGTTTTAGGAGATGAACATCAGTCTGCGAACAGGCCTAAATCGGACTTACGGTTTCTGTTGGGCCTCCTGCCTTGCTGGGTGACGCTGACGCGTTGTCTTTGTCCACCACCTTGACTCTTTTCGTGGCTGTCGGGACCTCGTCCTCGTCGCTCTCTTCCCGTGCTCGCTTGAGCTG